TATACGTACGTTAATACGTACAGGTCTTCGAGGGGGCAAATCAATCAGCGCCTGGCTCTTTTGTTTTTTATTTTGATCAAATCTCGGCGCCTCGCTCAGCTTCTGCGTGCTAGCTAGCATAGAAAAGTAAACAGATTTGGTGGGCCTGGCCCATATTCGCACGTACATGGTCACGTGGAGACCGGAGAGAAAAGGAATCGTTCCATTGATTTTCTGTAACTTTGGATTGGATCGGCCGTTCCCTGCCTTTTCTCCTCTTCCGCTGTACGTGTTCGTCTAATCTCATTGACTCTGTGACTGCGTCTCTGCCTCCTCACGAACGACGCCAGGACTGCGGCAGGTACATCTGGTTGCGCCCTCTTCCTCTTTTCCCTCGCATGATCTTCGTCCTATTTCTTTCTTTTCTCATCCTGATTCCCAATTTCTCGATCGATTGACAGATTGACAGATTAACACGACATTGTTTTTAGGGCGCTCAAATCATTGCGTCCACTTTGCCAGATTAGATTATATAGAGAAGGTATTATTCCATGCCCTAGCAAATTCTCATTATATTAGATGGTCTTCTGCACTTAATCTAATGTTTTAATTAGTTTTGCGGTAATTTTAAAAACTAATTGTTCTTTTCAATTTCAGCAGGGTCATGTCGAGTTTAGGTAGAAAGTATACATCCAGAAGTTATAAAAGGAAAAAAGAAGGAGGCAGATTAAGAGAAAGAAGCATTGAGCGGATCTCTTTTTAAATATTATAAGAGCGATACGAGCACGCCAAAAAATCCAAACGAGTTGGCGATAGTTCTTGCGGGTGACCAAACTAATGGCAATCAAGAAGATGATGGTCATACTCCTACAGAAGGCAATGTTGACGTCAACATGGATGATAGCAATGTGAGTGATCATGAGCCCATATTTAATTCATATGCGGTAGAATCTACTAGTGTTGATGAGGAACAAGTTAGTGTGGATATTTATGACCCAAGCAATTGGGGTAATCTTGATAACAAAGCGAGGGACATATTAGTGGAAAAGGGGCCTAAAATGGAAGAAGAAAACAATAAATATCCTTTGGATGAAAATTCAAGACATTTTTCGTATAGCCATTATTACTCCAGAAAGATGAGCAATGGAGATGTGCGTGATAGGAAATGGTTAGTTTTTTCAAAACACACAAAGAAAGTGTTTCGTTTTCGCTGTAAGCTTTTCAATTCTGATAAATGCAAGAGTGCAATGGGGAATGATGGGTTTTATGATTGGAGGCATATTAATGAAAGATTGAAAGAGCACGGAGCTAGTGATTTTGCATCTCAGAATGTTAGGAGAAATATTTGAAGCTATATGTAATACATTATATGATATGCACAATTATTTTGGATGCACTTTCTTTGATACAAATTATATGTACATACGATGATTATTAATAGGCATTTATACTAAGGGCCTCAAAGGGCCCCGGATTGTCGTTTCGCCCCGGGCCCCCAAAATCTTAGGACCGGCCCTGATCAAAACGTCTATATACAGGGATCATGACAGGTGAACCGTTGCTGGGGAGAGGAAAAAATCATGACTGCAGTCGTGTTTAGACAACGCCTTCATATTGTCCATGCGTGGACATTGTCGAGGTTGATTTAGAGGATGCGTATATTTAGACGATTATATAGACAAGCTGTTGGATTTTTGTTTTGGGCTCACGTCGTGAAAAACGAGTATAGACATCCATATATAGACAAGCTAGTGGAGATGCTCTTATTTTGCGAAACGGAGGGAGTATCTCGAAAGAAAGGGGGAGAAATAATAACCATGCGGATAAACAGATCGACGACCCACCTGCAACAATGCCATCGCGGCCCCACATGTCCATGTCCTGTCCCCACCAGTCAGCCTACAGCGTGTGAGCCGACCCACCGAAAAGAATGACACCTGGGCCCCACTTCATCACCATACGGGCCCACCCGTCGGCCTCCCATTCCAACAGCCTAACCACCCTCCCGGCCCCATCCTACAAGAGCGCAGCCACCGCAACCTGCACGCGAAAGCAAAGCCCAGTCGAAATTAAAAAGGGTAATTAATACCAAAACAAAACAACTCGCCGAACACCAACCGCCGCCGCCGCCCGCGCCGACCCTGACCGGCTCCGGCGCCATGGCGGCCGCCGGAGAGCGGCGCCTCCTCGTCGGCCTCCTCCTCCTGGCCCTGGTGGTGTCGGCGCACTGCCTCGACGGGGGCCACCACGGCCCGCGCATGAAGCGGCGCCGCAAGAAGCGCGAGATCCACTCCCCCGTCAAGACGGTGGTGGTGGTGGTCATGGAGAACCGCAGCTTCGACCACGTCCTCGGCTGGCTCCGCGCCGGCCGCCCCGACATCGACGGGCTCACCGGCACGGAGTCCAACCGCCTCAACGCGTCCGACCCGGCCTCCCCGGAGATCTTCGTCACCGACAAGGCCGGCTACGTCGACTCGGACCCCGGCCACGGCTTCGAGGACATCCGCGAGCAGATCTTCGGCTCCGCCGACACCTCGGCCGTCCCGCCCCCCATGTCCGGGTTCGCGCAGAACGCGCGCGGCATGGGCCTCGGCATGGCCCAGAACGTCATGAGCGGCTTCGCGCCCGACTCGGTCCCCGTCTACGCCGCCCTCGCCGACGAGTTCGCCGTCTTTGACCGCTGGTTCGCCTCCGTGCCCACCTCCACCCAGCCCAACCGCCTCTTCGTCCACTCCGCCACCTCCCACGGCCTCACCTTCAACGCCCGCAAGGACCTCATCAACGGCTTCCCGCAGAAGACCATCTTCGACAGCCTCGAGGAGGACGGCCTCTCCTTCGGCATCTACTACCAGAACATCCCGGCCACGCTCTTCTACCAGAGCCTCCGCCGCCTCAAGCACCTCGTCAAGTTCCACCAGTACAGCCTCAAGTTCAAGCTCGACGCCTCGCGGGGCAAGCTGCCCAACTACGTCGTCATTGAGCAGAGGTACTTCGATTGCAAGGAGTTCCCTGCCAACGACGACCACCCGTCGCACGACGTCGCCAGGGGCCAGAGGTTTGTTAAGGAGGTCTATGAGACGCTGCGAGCCAGCCCGCAGTGGAACGAGACGGCTCTCATCATCACCTATGATGAGCATGGTGGCTTCTATGACCATGTCCCCACGCCCGTCGTCGGGGTGCCCCAGCCCGACGGGATTGTTGGTCCTGACCCTTACTACTTCAAATTCGACCGACTTGGGGTGCGCGTGCCCAGCTTCCTCATCTCCCCCTGGATTGAGAAGGGCACTGGTGAGTACCAACTAGTTGTTTCTTTCTTTACATTTGAATTGAATGTCTATAAGCAATAGGAATGAATTGACTTGCCAAGATTAGATTGTGCCGTGCTTCTGTTAGGAAGACAAACTCAAAGATGATCGGCGTTAGTATGATGAATTCTTGTTCATTTAGCATAGAAGCATTCCTTTGGTATAGAACCATGTGGTGAGCTTGTTTCTAATCATACATATTGATGAACTGAGGGCCTCCTCATTTTAAAATATTCGATATGAACAATTGAAGATTTGTAGTACTCATCTTGCTGATGATAAGCTGCAAACATCCCCCTGAATGCCTGGCAAGTATCCATGTGACCATGTGGACACACAGTTGGACAAGTAGCAGTTTTGGGGCCCTTGTCATCGACAGGTGGACTTGCTTGCTATTTCATTCTATCGCCATCTTTGGTTCCTGTTTGTCCCTTTATTAAGTAGACAAATCTTGGAACTTCAGCAAGTTGCTTAACCTCTCCATAAAATGTTGAATATGAATTTCGCAGCATTTTTAGTACTACCCATGATCCATCTTAGTGATTACATATGCTGCAATTGTCCTCTTGCATGCCTGGCAAGTAGCATTCTATGTGGACACGTAGTTGGATAGGTTGCAATTTTACAGGCTTTGTCATCAAGAGGGGGACTTGCTTTCTGTTTCATTCTAATGCCATTTTGCTTCCTGTTTACGTCTTTATGAAATAGACAAAACTTGGAACTTGAACCAGTAGCTTAACCTCTCCATCTTGAAACTAGGCTGATATAGGAAGTAGGGATGGCACCCGCAGGGTTTGGGCATGGGTGGAGCCACCCTATACCCTTACCCGTCATCCCAAATCTTACCCATCACCCGTACCCATACCCGTTGATGGGTACAATATTTTTCCATACCCGTCACCCATCAGGGTAAATAGGTACCCACGGGTAAAATTACCCAGATTTGCGACACATCAATTTGAGCATTACATAGTCATAGACAACAACTTTAACAATAATTTATAAACAACAGCACATCATGACATCAATGCATACTCATTCATGGGCTAGCTATTGTGGTGCGGGGGCCTAACATGAATGCATGATGAGGTCTTGTTAGGGCTGTTGGATTTATGTGCATATAATATGTTTAATATATGGATAAATAATATATAAGGTCTATTTGTCAGAATATATGCGGGTACATGAGTATGGGTTATACTAAACCATACCCATACCCACTATATCCGATGGGTATGAAATTTTCCTATTTATGTACCCATGGGTATATTTTTGACCCACACCCTTGCCCTAATAGAGTTTTTACCCGCAGGGTACGTGGGTAATGGGTGCCCATTGCCATCCCTAATAGGAAGGGAGTACATTTGTAATAACGTAAATCTTACCTTTTTGTGATTTGCTCTGTATATCAATATCTTAGTATTAAGTACGTTGTTTTGAATTTGTGCAGCGATCCATGAACCAAATGGTCCATTTGAAAACTCACGATATGAGCATTCATCCATTCCTGCAACCGTAAAGAAGCTATTTAATTTACGTGCTAACTACCTGACAAAGAGGGATGCATGGGCCGGGACCTTTGAGAACTACCTCAAAGTTCGAAAGACGCCAAGAACTGACTGTCCAGGTAAATACTTTTTATAGTTCAGCATGTTACATTGTTACTACACTAATATGCTGGAGTTATGACATAGATTTCTTTATTGGCATTATTCCTGCTGTGGTTAGTGAATTTTGAAAAAGAAAAAGTAAATGTGTTTTGACATGCTCTGTTATTGGAGTTAACAATGTTTAAGATTGCTTCTCAACGTGGATTTATGGATATAAATTGCTGATTCTGTTGGCATCCTAATCACATATAATCCTTTTATTTGAAACAGAGAAACTCCCAGAGGTTACAAAGTCTCTGCGACCATTTGGTGCTAATGAAGATAAATCTCTATCTGAGTTTCAAGTGGAGTTGATTCAACTCGCCTCTCAGCTCAACGGTGACCATGTACTCAACAGCTATCCGGATATTGGCAAGACAATGAGTGTAGGAGAAGCAAACCGTTACGCAGAGGATGCTGTCTCCAGATTCCTGGAAGCCGGAAGAAGTGCTCTTAGGGCAGGCGCAAATGAATCTGCTCTGGTGACAATGAGGCCCGCACTTACCAGCAGAGCCGCAATGTCCACTGGCTTGTCATCAGAGCTTTGATTGGATCGTCGTGGATCCTATCAACATCCGCATCATGATTTGGGCCACATCAACCATAGTCTGGTAGCATTTATGTAATGGGTAGATCTTACACATGGCTTTTGTACATATATACCATGACACTTCGTATCTGAAGCTCACTTGACCGAATCCTCATGATTTACGCTGAGATATCAGCTCAGTAGTATCGCCCAGCATTGTACCAGATGCATGCCAAAATCCCCTGCTGGATAAGCTGTAGCTGGTATCTGGAATCTGTTGTCGGGAAACTGTACCTATTCAGCTCTCTACTGTACCTGCTTGTATAGCAGTTGAACTGCAACGTAAAGGAGTATTGTAAGGATTGTTGGATTTGGCCATCTGTAACTATTTGCATCTATCTGGATTTGGAGTCACTTGTATTATGATATCCTCCCTCATTCCCTCTGTTCATATATATAAACATCTTATATTTATGAACAGAGAAAGTAGTTCTGAATCTGTGCTTCACTTCTGTTGCCTCCAAATAAAAGTCACATCTCAAGCCATGTGTCCATGACTCATTTCCAGTTGAAGGTCATGCAAGAACATGCAGGTTTCAGAATTTTTGGAATACAGTGGTCAACGTTAGCTGGGTATCAGAGCATCCGAGAGAATACTTCCTAGCTCATTTTTCATTCTATAAAATATGTGCTCCCCCATTCACTATTATAAGAGTATCTACAACCGGACTCCTCAAATTGACCGGGTGGGCGCGGGGACCATTGACCGGACAAGAGAGAGAAGCAAAAAGTTGATCCAGCCGAACCCCTCAAAGCCTCCTTAAATGCTTGGGTTGTCCGGTAGCACCCATAATATGAGGAGTGCCTGGGCGTGCCCGGTCAGTGGTCCTGCGTCCGCCACATAGGATTGGGCCTTCCCATAAAGCATATTTTTAAAATATTTTTTCCACATATTTTTTAAAATTTTATCATTTTTTAATACATGGTCTAAATTTTTTCTATACACATTAAAAAAATCAAACACTTGTTTAACATTTTTTGAAATGCTTGATTAATTTTTTTAAACATTTTTCATATATGTGCTGAACATTTTCTAAAATTTTAATATATACTTATTTTTTAAATACATTTTGCTAAAATAATTGGAGGTATAAGCAAAACAGACAAAAAGAAATCAAAATCACAAACAAAAAAGTGAAAAAAAAAAACAAAACAGAAAACTAGGCTATTGTTTCATGCAGGTCTGGGCTTGCCACCCCAACATGCAGGTGGTGAAGCAGTCCGAAATGCGCCGGCCCAAAAGAGAAACGGACGATGTAGGGTACACGCTAGGTCGCTGACGACGCAGACTCCGTCTCGCTTATAGTAAGACATAGGGAATCATCGCTGAAGGCGATAGTAGACGCTTGGGAGGCCACAGCCTTGCTTTTGTTTGTTTTTTTTTCGTTTTCCTTAATGTTTCTTTATTTAATATTTTGTTTATATTTTCAAATATTATAAACAAATTAGTTGCAAATAGACATTACATAAAACATTGAAAAGAACGATCAGCAAGCATTTGAAAAATTGTTAAATGCGTATAGAGAAAATGTTTCTCATGTATACAAAAAATATGCAATCTGCGTGAAAAAAGTTGATCATGCATTTAAACAATATTAATCAAGAATTTGAATAAACTATTAAATAAGTATTTGCAAAATGTTAATCAAGCTTCTGAAAACATTAAATCTGTATAGAATAATGTTAACCATGTATTGAAAATTTTCATTTTGTATTTAAAAAATGTTATTCAAGCACTTGAAAAAAACAAGTATTTTAAAACAGTCATTAAGCATTTGAATTTTTTTAAATGTGTATAGAAGAAATGTTTACCATCTATTAAAAAATGTTAATCTTGTATTTGATTTTTTAATCAAGCATTTGAAAAAAACTAATGTGATTAGAAAAATATTAACCATGTATTAAAACATGTTAGTCAAGCATTTAAAAAAGTGTTAAATATGTGTAGAAACAATGTTGACCATGTTTTCAAAAAGTATTAGTCTTGTAGCCGAATAATGTTAAACATGTATTGCAAAAATGCATTAGATATATACCAAAAATGTGCAAAGTGTATGGGAAAAAGTAGACATAAAACAATATAAGTCCACAAAAATGCTAATCATGTAATTGAAAAATGTTAACACTTTATATAAAAACGTTTCAGATGTATACAAAAAATGTTGAATGTGGACCAAAAAAAGTTGACATGTGTTGTACCAAAAGGAACCTGATGAAAAATGACGAATACAAAGGTGATGAAAACCCCAAAGAAACGAATTCAAAAGAATGAAAACATAGAAACTTAGAGAAAGAAACAAAAAAACTGATGAAAACTAATAAAAATATAAAATAACAAAAAAAGAAAGACACAAAAGGAAAAGGCCAATGAAAACCAAGAAAGAAACAAATAAAAACCAATGAAAACCGAGAAAGAAACTAAGAAAACCAATAAAAATACAAAGAAAATGGAAAAGCCAAAAAGCCGTGAAGAAACAAAGACAAAAGAAAGAATGAAATAGAAAAAATAATATACACGGGCAAACCTGCGAACTCACTGATCGAACGAACCCAGCAAAGAAAAGAAATAGACGAAAGCGGGCGGCCCAATAGCTAAACGTATGGGGCAAAAGCTTCACAGAACTCCTGTTCAGCGCCTTAAGCGCCCGAACAGCTCCCTGGCGCATACGGCCGCATCACTTTGTTGGGCCGGCCCATGAAGGCGGATGCCATTGAATGTATAACGCCGAAAATGGGAAAAGATGCCTTTCTCTTGTTTCAAACTCAGGTCCTTGCGTTCATCTCGAAGTTGAGCTAACCACTAGAGCCATTAGACATTCGTGACAGATACCAGCATCAAGTATTTAAGAACAGCGTGGCGGGGCTATTTATTCGCAGAATACTGTCTACTACTTTGAAAAAATCTTGAATTTGAATACGTTCATCATTTTTGAAGAAAAGTTCACGAACTCAAAAATCATTCATCGATTTTGAGAAAAGTTCATGAAAAAAATGAAAAAAGTTCATCAATTTCAAAAAAACATCGAATTTGAAGAAAAGTTCATCAATGTGGGAAAAAGTTAATCGAGTTTGAAAAAAAGTTCATCGGATTTGAAAAACGTACATCAAAGTTAAATAAAAGTTCTTCGGATTTGAAAAAAACATTAAAGTTAAATAAAAGTTCACCAGTTTGAAAAAATTCCAACGAATTTGAAAAAAGTTCATCAAAGTTAAATAAAATTTCATTGAATTTGGAAAAAGTTCATCGAATCTGAACCAAAAGTTCATCTATTTTCTGACACGCAGAAAAAAAGGTCATCTTTTTTTTTAAGGTTCATCGTATTTGAAAGAAAAGTTCATTGATTTGAAAAAAGTTCACCAAATAGTTAGGAACTTTGTTGAATCAGGAAGAAGATAAAAAGAAAAACGAAAAAAAATGAAAAAAATGAAAAAAAGAAAAATGAAAAAGAAAAGAAAAGTGTAAAGAAGAAAAGAATGGAAAAGAGTTAACTTATCACGTGGGGTTTGTTGGCGGAGTGGTTACTTCGTAGCAGTGCTCAGGCGCCCTTTTTTGCGTTTTCAAAAATAGAGAAAGGAAAAGGCACATGGGCCGGCCCAGCACTGAGGGTGGGTATGCGCCCGATTGCGGAAACGCCTGTAACGGGTGCTTAAGGCGCTGAATAGGGTTTGCCAAAGCTTCATGCGAGACGAAAGAGACAATTAACATACGTATAAAAAGAACTTTATGTGCATGCGTTATGTCGTGCACTGATTGCGATCTATATCGAACCACCCCGCTGACATCAACTGTTGTTGTTTTTGTCGCCTCTTTGATCTCGCCCCATCTAACTTGATGACTGTTGTAGAAAGTATTTGTTTTCAATCGATCAGCTTAAGGCTTGCATTACTAACTCTCCTGGATGACTTCACCGTGCTGACTCGACGAATACCATCCATTTTTAGAACCTTCCATGACTTTTCTCATTATACCACTTGTTAGAATAATTTGAGGCCATCGTCGATCTATCACAAGAAATTGCTGAAATTATTAGTACACTTTCGATTAATCTAATCCACGAGTAAATAAAAAAATATATGAAATTAACAGTATGCAACTCATATCTATATCTAAACATGTGAGCACGTACAGAACATAGAACTGAAACATCTATAAACACATAATATACAGCTATCACATGAACGAGTAAATAAAAGATAAATTAGATACTACCCTTTGATACAGTGTTGACTTAGTTAAGAAGTCTACTTGCAAGACTTCCATAAAACAACACCACTATCAAGTATGACCACAAATCCACTTATGACTTTTATCTCATCAGCATCAAAGATCCAATTGGAATCACTATGCCCTTCAAGTACCATCGAGTATCTCGTATAGTGAAGTCCATGGCTCACAATACCTTTCAGATAACACATTACTCTTTCAACAATATGCCAATGCACATCTCCCAGGTTCGAAACAAAACCGGCTCAGCTTGCTCATAGCAAAGGCGATATCAGTCCTTGTAGCACAAGCTAGGTACATGAGTGAATCAATCACTTGAGAGTATCTCATTTGATCTATATTCATGTCTTCAAACTTTTGAATCCGCGCACTAGGATCATATGGCACTAGTAGAAAAAGGGTCAAATGTGAGACACATTAGTCCCGGTTTGTAACAGAACCGGCACTAATGTGTCCATTAGTGCCGGTTCCAACGGCTAGGCGGGAGGAGATCTTTAGTACAGGTTCGTGGCGAACCTTTAGCACCGGTTCATGCCATGAATCGGTACTAATGAGAGTGGTGGAAGTATGTTGTCAGAGTGGGGCCCCTCCAGCACCTTTAGTACCGGTTCGTGCCACGAACCGGTACTAAAGGTCATCCTATATAAACCCTTCGTCCACCAGCACTCTGTTCTTCCCCCTTTCCCCTCTCCCTCTCCTCTGTTCTTCCGTTCTTCCTCTCGAGTTCATTGAAGGAAATATGCCCTAGAGGCAATAATAATGTTATTATTTTATTTCCTTATATCATGATAAATGTTTATTATTCATGCTAGAATTGTATTATCCGGAAACATAATACTTGTGCGAATACATAG